TACTAGTACGTAAGTACGTACACAACGAATAACTAGACACGACGACACACACACACACACACACACACACACACACACACACACACACACACACACACACACACACACACACACACACACACACACACACACACACACACACACACATCTAATATGTTCTTATCTGGTTCTGAGTGGCTACACAGAGTAAAACCTCTGTTGTATCATAGCCATATCTGTCTTCATTGCTGAGCCTGTGTGTGTGTGTATACGTGTACTGTATGTGTGGGTGTGGGTGTGTGTGCCTTAGTGTGTGTGAGCAAAGACTTCAGCCATGAGCAGCCATCCAGAATGCTTATCTAGTAGATCCAACAGCTTGACCGCTTTTTGCTGTGGCAGCAGACACATTTTGTGTCACACCCAGCGCTCAAAAACACACCCACACTACACCACACACACACACACACACACACACACACACACACACACACACACACACACACACATTGCAGAGGAGGCGTGCAGGTTAGTAGCAGGAAGCAGTTTTTAGACATTAAAACTAGTTTCAATCCAGCGGTTAAAAAGCCGGCATACAGCTTGTGGCGATCCTCTTTTTATCGAGGTCATATATTTATTTGATTATAATAATAATGATATATAAATGAGCCCGGTCCATGAACTAGAAAATCACTTTCTCATTACTTTAATCCATTTTTCACAACATACTTTCACAGTTAAGATAAATACAGGTGTGCATTACATCAGGCGGACGTCCTTTCTAAATCAAATGAAAATCTTTACAGAAGCACCTTTGGGTTTTATTTTCAATCAAGTAAACATAATGCAGTCATTGTAAAGTCAATGTGATTAAAGAGATATATAAAAATATGTTCTTATAAAAACATCACGCTATGCATCGTCATGGCCAATCCCCATGGAACAACAACACGTGGTTCACTGTGAGACATTCAGGGTACATATTTCAGTCATTACAAATATAAAAAAGAAAAACAATGACAAGATGTAAATAAGAAGACCATAATATACAAAAGTGGTTATTATCGAAACAATAGGTATAAAAAACTCCCTTTTTCTTTTGAAGTCAGATGTTAAATATTCTACCAAACATGACGCTAACGGAAATAACAATAATTAGAAATGTGATTCAGGTTTACAGACTGTAGCACCATGAGATATAGAACATGTGGTTCCTCCTGCGTGTCCAAGTCCTTTCTGAACGCCAGTCGTTGTCCAGTTTCCTCCCCATCACTACAGCTCTGGCAGGGGGGGGGGGTTGAGGTGGAGATAAAGACCCCAAAGCTAACACCCTGCTAGTAAAAACCTCCAAAGACCAGGAAGAAGCCACCACACCACCACCACCGAGGGATTTCAATATAAAGAGGGGAAATCTGCAGGAGCCAATCACGGACCCCAGAGAGCTCATGTGACCTGACGCTTAGATTTAAAGATCTGCTATCATGCTGTTTTTAGGCGTATAGTATAATAGCCCGTTTTTAGAGATTTCAGTACGGAGGAAAAGAGAGAGGGTTTGTTTTTTACACTTTGTGACTTGCATGATAGGAGACCTTTAAAACCTCCTTATGTCATCTGGAGATGTTGTTCTGTAATATCGTTTTAGTTTGAGTTAAACCCACAAGCTGTATTTCTTCATAGAAAGTCCAGGAAATGCATGAAACGAGTTAGAAAGCGTAGTTTGATACGTGAGCAGAAGCGTGGCGGTTAGAAGCGTGTTGATCTAAAGGGTTCTAATGCAGGAAAACAGAAAGCATGGCATGCACCACTGCAAGCTGGAAGAGAGGGGGGGGAGCCAGAGCAGGGGCTGATGGGTAATGTTGTGCCGTGGATCACGAACCTGGCACGTAGAGGACGGCGGTGCCCTCGTCCATGGCGAACATGTTGGACCCGGTGCAGACGTAGACGCCAGCGTCCTCCGGCTGCACGTTCTGGACCGTCAGGATCCCGTTGAAGTCCATCGCTCGAGTGGGAAGCTTCCCGTTTCCTTTCCGGGTCCAGACCAGGGTGTAGGCCGGAGACTGGTGGGGGGAGATAAGAGATAAGATTAGATAGTACTTTAATGGTGTACTTTTACTCCACTACAGTTCAGTTTATAAAACGGATAAGTCAAATCAAGCAATCTGATTGGTTCACAAGTCAGTATCCCTCCGTGTCTGAGAAAAGCTACAACCGTTACCAGTGGCGGCGCCAGGGTATGGCTGGGGTAGGCTACAGTCATACCAAGACATGGCTTAGCCCCACCTTAGCCCCACCATGAACAATGATGTTAAAGTAAGCTAAATAAAGTCCACCAACTCGCGGAGTAAATCACACAGACAGCAGTTAGTCAGATTGATTTCAGTAGCCACTTGTCTGGAAATACCGAAGACTAGAAACGGTTTTGAAAACTTTTGTCACGTAGTGATCGTCTTCTCAATAGAACATCTTTGATAATGTCTTCTGGCCAATCAGAATCAAGATAACTGCGTGGTGTTGTTGCAGGAAGTCCCGACGGAGAATACTTTTGCTGGAGTACATCTCTATATACATCGATACAATAAGAGCCCACGGTTTGATGATTGATAGGTGTGTGGGCTGTCTTTCATTTTGACACACAGAACAATGGGGGCTATCCACCCTTATCCACAAAGTAAAGTCATTCAGCCTCTTCCCTCTCCTCTCTGTGAGGAGCAGCAGGTTCAGCTTTCAGAGCAAAGTAACACAAAACTAAAATGGCATTCATTTTTTAAAATATGTCGTGTAGTAATAGATGTATTTATTTTTCTTCTCAAGAGAGCACCAGAATGTGTATTTTATGTTAGTATTTCAAAAAATCTCCTGAGGGCCACACTTGGTAACCGTCTTATAAAAGCAACAGCTCACTTCAGGCCGTGATGTATGCTCAGTATATCACAGCTGAGGGGCGTGGTTCGGCCCGACGCGAAGCGGACGACCATACAATGACCATATACCACGGCCTGTCGTGAGCTATTGCTTACAGTGCTTCTCAGAGAGTGTTACCTTGCTCGTGGCAGTGCAGATGAAGCTGACGGTGGCCCCCAGCCGGACGGTCTGAGACTGAGGCTCCTCCACGGTCACCTGGATGGCTTTAGAGGGAACACCTGGAGAGAGACACCATCACTTCATACTCCATGCAAACAGGTCATGTTTTCATGTCTGAGACACATGTTTTTATTTCTGTCAATTCCCACTTTTTTATCTCTAAGATTCCTGAAAAAATAAAGACTTTTTCAAGAAATATAAAATTCTGATTCTTTTTTTCCGAATAGCTTTTAACTTTCTTTTGTTTACAGATTTTTATGAAAAAAGTCAGATTTTGAGACAGACTTCGAAAAAAACACATTATTTCTGTTTTGTTTGTTTTTATGAAAAAATGAAATGTTTCTCTAGAATTGTAAAATGTAGAATTCCCCCCAACGAATTCAGATTTTTCCACTTTTTGAAAAAGAAAAACATTTTTTTCTGATTTGATTTCTCAGATGTTTTCGTTTACTTCTCAGATTTATGAAAAAAAACAATTGTATTTTTTTTACAAAAGATCTGAAGGAATTCTGAAATGCTTTTTTTGAGAACTTTTTTTTCTCCAGAAAATGTCAGAATTAAAGGATTCTGCCGTTAAAACAGTTAAAACATTTAGTGTTCAGGGCTCCTCTCACTTGTGACCACGATCTCCGCCCGGCTGCGGTTGGTGCTGCGGTTGTCTTTGCACGTGCACACGTACACGCCTCCATCACTCTGCTGCACGCTGGGGAAGAACAGCTCTGCTCCTACACACACACACACACACACACACACACACACACACACACACACACACACACACACACACACACACACACACACACACACACACACACACACACACACACACA